ACACATTATAACAAATGTAATCTATTCCATATCACATAGAGTAAAAACAAAAAGTCAATTGCTGACCAGGAATTTTAAAAAACTAGCCAACATCGTCCTTTTGTGGTGCTGGGCCAACATGCACTGAAGGAGCTGCTTTGCTTATTATTACTTGTTTGGCTATGATTGGCAATATACTACTTCCCTTTTTCTTATCCTCAATGCAACTCTGGATTTCACATCAATATTTGTAGGTGTCAAATGTTCAGAACTGTACATGAAAGCTTAGAAAATGTGTCATAGCAGTTATTAAATATAGTAAAAAGGACTATTAAAGGTCAAGTTCATTTTTATGATCCTTAAACACTTGAATCTTCATTTATCATACTTAAACATCTTTTTCTCAGATACTTTATTTTCAGAAAGATCAACATATTTTGCTTTCAAGAATGTGTCAAAAACAATAGGTGACATACGAACTTTTCTTTAAAAGTCTTAATATTTCATTTCATTTTAAACTGGTATCAAAAGGTGCTCATGTAATGCGGTTATTTTTCATTTAGCTTTCCCTCATCTGTAACAGTGTTTCCATGACATCATGCTTGGACAGCAACTCAGGAAGAGATACTAATAGTTGCTGGCTGCTTTCTTCCAACTTTGTATCTCTTTGCAGTTACTTAAACTTTTGTAAAACAAAAGATCGATTAAAAAGAGACAAACTGGGAGTCAATTTATTTACAGAACAAATACAGTTTGAAATTCAAAGATCTTTGCATAACAGAAAGAGGTCGGTTTTCTGGTGACAAATATAAATGCTAACAGGAAACTCTCACAGGCGTCACTTGCAGATAAAGCATTCACCAGTTAAATAACTTTTCCACGTTTCCTGTTGGAAACAGAAAATTTCTCCAAGTCCAGTTTAAAAGGAAGTACTGAAGGTCAGCCTTTTCCCTTCCTCTGTTTGAAGCCTTGCTTTCTTCCTCCTGCACTCTTATTAAAGCCCATTTTGCCTTTCTGACTTTTAGACTTGAATGGTCTGTCCCCATTTCTCCTTTTCCCACCAAATCTATCCTGCTCTCCAGCTCTCTTTGCTCCAAAAGCCTTTCCTGTAGGCTTCATTTTCTTCCCAAATGATTTTTCCCCATCCCTGGATTTCTTCCATCCTTCTTTCTGTTGTTTTTTCCCTGTTTGGTTTCTATGCTGTCCTCCTGGTGATTTGGAACCTCTGTCTTTTAAAGATTGACCAGGGGACAACTTCCTCCTCTTGGCAGGTCCATGAGATTTTTCTGAACTCCTCCTCTTCTTCTTTCCACTCGGAAACATGCCTACATGGAAAACATCTGTTAATACTTAAAAAGACCCCAGTGAACTAAGAGTGTTACGTAAATTAGCTACAGTCACCTTCGTCTGGCTCCTCTCCTACGGCCTGTCTGTAGTACTCTGCCTCGTCATCAGACTCAGCATCAGCTCCCTGACCATCCTGAGCCCCTGGATCCTCCACCTCACTGTCCTCTTCAGCTTCGGCACGTTTCTTCTTAATGCCTTCCAGGCTCTTTTTCCTGTGAGAAAGAAATGGAGACACAGTTTGTCATAAACCGCATCAAAAAATGGATACAAAAAAAGGAAAGTCAAAACATTTGAAAGCCAAATTACCTGTGCTCTTCTTTTTTCTCTGTCTTCTGAGCGATGTTCTGCTCCTGCTTTTTCCGGCGTTCCTCCTTCTCTTTTATCTTTGCCTCCTTCCTCTTCAGGATCTCCTGGATTTCTTCCTCCGTCTTGGAGACTACAAGGATTGTACAAATAATTCCTGGTTAAGAACAGTTTTTGCCAGCTTCCAAACGATAAATAAAATTCTGCAAGTTCAGGGTGTATCAGTAAGCGTTTACTTTTTTTTTTTTAGAGAGAAATCATAGAATTCATACAGTTTTTTTCATCATGTACACTCCTGCATATGCTAAAGAAAAAAAATTACGAAAAGGATGCGCTTACTCATGGAGTGATATATGACGTTCCCCTCGCCCATCCCTTCTTGAATCTTCATTAACCGCAGAGTCATGCGAGGACCAATCTGAGAACAGCACAATGAAATTTTCAGCACCACTCAAACACTATTTAGGGAAAAAAAAATAAAAAAATAAATCAACTTTGTGCGCGTACGCACTTCGGTCAAGCGGACGGCACTCTGCTGGGACGCCATGTTGCCTCTTCCAGAGTAGACCTGTGGAAGTTCGGTAACGTTGTGCTCCTCATCTTGCTCAGCTTCACTTTCTGAGAGGTTTGCCCCCCTGAGAATGGTTACAAAGAACATTTCATTAGACAAAACTCCAGCTCACCAACGGCTACAAATCCGAGCCCCTTTTAATCCTCGAGGCTACAGCAATTGTACCTGAAAAAGAACCTTACTTCATCAGCAGCTCACTGATATCCTCAAACTTGTTCATATCAGGGAACCTCTCCTGCATCAGCTTCTTGACTCCACGGCTCACTCCCACAGGGACAACCTTGAGGCTGCTGCAGGGTGGGAACAACATATTGGTCAATTTCAATGTATAATCAGTAAACAGAGTAAAAAAAACCAAACAAATGTTTTTATCCTGTGGGGGCTCATCAGTGCGTTTACTTTGGACATAGATCACTGAACAGTCAAGTCAAGGTCTGTCATCATCTGAGCCCAAATTTCACAGGATTGTTGTTGAATGTAGGTTTAAGTAACTGGAACTAGTTTCGTGTACGTTCCTTAACAGCGCATCATCTGTGATGTGTGCGCAGATGTATAGATTCAAAAGCGTTGTGACCTGATGTTTATAAGCAACTTAAAATGATAAAGAATAGCCAATTTTTACTTACTAATGCCGGAATTCAATTTCCTCTGATTCGGAATTGTAGCTTAACAGGACACACCTCTTGATGGTGTTGAGGCTTATCTAAAACACAAGAAACAGAACGAAACATTTCTCTTGAGTGGAAGTCAAGGTTAGGCAATCACAAAGCTGAATGGATCAACAGAGAGATCAGAAAGCGTTTACTTTTGATAAATCTTCACATAAACTCAGAAGACTATACTTTCATCATATCAATGAGGTTTTAAACCTCGAGTCACCCAAGGAAAAAATATTGCAGTAGCTTTAGTGGTAAAACCCACCTTGTGCACATTTATGGAAGGAAACATGTTTTGGAACATGGTGGCCATAAGTTTGATATGCATGCCATCTTGTCCAAAGTTATTAAGGATGAGCAGCGGATGATACTTGAACTGCTCCTCGTGCATCCTGTGCTTCTTCAGAGATGAAACGACATCTTTGATAAGACAGTACTGGAAAAAAAACAAAACAAAAAAACAACTTTGTAAAAGTAAGGAATAGAACGATCAAGAAAGAAATCGCAACTTTGGTAGTTTGGGCACATCAGTGCGTTTACTTTGAAAAACATTTATTAATCACATTTTAAAATGTCATGAACCCATGACTCATTTGATTTAGTTTTATTTTGCATGCACAGTTTAAATTATTTACCTTGGTGACCTGGAAATGAAGCATGGGACCTTTGGGAAGACGAGCAACTCTCTGTAAGAAGAATATTTGATTAGATTTATAACAGAGGCACAGATTTGACATACAGTTGCAAATGCATTTGTTTACAGTCTAATATAAGGATTCTCAACTTGATGTGACAGGAAGCCAGGTGCTTGCTAATATAAACAATATAAAATGCAAAAATTAAAAAAGGTCTAATATTTCGCTATTTTCAAATGACTTAACTACTTTAGCTCTGACACCAAGCACATTTAGAGGTAAATTATAGGCCTCAGTCAATCAATACGCTAAGGTCATCTTACCATGTTGATACTGGTGGGCGTTTTGCTGAAGATGTTGAAGTGCGTCACTCCCAGTGGTCCTGCTATCGCAACAAAGTCTTTGAGCACATTCTTCTTCCTAACCTGTTTTTTTTTTGGGTAAAAAAGTAAAACGATTTCACGCACAGTCTGCAGAAATAAAATATGAATAAATCAATACAATAGTTGCCTAAAGAACTCAAAGAAGGGACCTTGAGAGAGACTGCGGTGTAGGGCTCCATGACTTTCCGGATATCGATAATGAGCTGACCCACGTTTTTTCCAACCTGGCCCCGGTGAAACACCAAAGTGTGGGGCACAGCCGAGTAAGTCTCCTCGGCCTCATGGTTGGCCTGTAATCGGTCTTTCTTCTGATTCCGGGTCTGTTGAGGGCGATAAACACATATTGGTAAAGGGGTCAATTACTGACTGTTGCTGGTCTCACGTTTAGCTTTAAGTTTAGTGAAAAGAAGGCTAACGTGAAAGGGTCTCACGACACAACTAGCTTTACAAACTACACACATTTTCATACGCATCGCTAACTACAACCCAACAGGGTTTCCATTTAATAAAAGTAACAGTTTGGTTTTTCGCAAACTAACAATGATTAAATAGCCTCTTTAATAGCAGCATTTCAATCCACATCGGCTAATCTTTTAGCACAGGCCGGTACTTACCTTTGATTTCCCCATAATTCAGCTCGAAACAGAGCGCAAGATTGTAATGGGAACAAAAACACACTCACAAAAACTCGCTATACTATACTTAAGCTACCAAGAACGATCCAGCTCATTTTTTGACGATATTAACCAAGTTAGTCCAAACTGAAGTTAACGTGACGCCATCCACATGGCTCTACTCTGCTTTTCTAGTGTGTGTCACAGGCTAATAAGTCCGTATTTCTCGTGTCTTCGATAGTTCCTAGCCGGTGTACGCTACTTTGTTTTTTCCAGTTGCAGTTCATTATAGTAACCGCTGGATGGCCGTAGACAGCTGAGACGGCTGCATCTCTTTGAAAGATGGTAATTAACCCCCTCCCTTTCTATGAATTTTGGAATAATAATAAAAGAAAAATAAAGTAACACAAGTAACATATTCTAATTAAGATCAATTCAATATACATCTCCAAAAGTTGATTCTGTTCATCTGGACGTAGCGTTTTGTGGGAGAAACGTTTCGTCACTCATCCAAGTGACTTCTTCAGTCTCAGCTGACTGCAGGTTTCCCCAAACAACTGAAGTGGGGAAACTTCAGTTGTTGGTTTCAGTCATTATGCAAATATACTGTTTATAAGATTTGGGGAAACCT